CGTTCGGTCATTGCGCGCCAAAATTGTAATCGTTGCAGGCAACAGTAAATGAGTTAAAAATCATCATTTTTGTGCTCAATTATCTCATTGTTTTAGTATATACTAAAACAATTATTCACCTCAGTGTCGGTGGCTAGTGGGGCGAGGAAAAATACTACCCAACTCGCCAAATATCTGCACATACTATATGCTTAAACATGGAATAAGGTGTATGTACAAGGGCATAGTTTCATGAAATGGAGATTTGGAAAAAAGAGAATTATATCATAGTGAGCTCTGAGCTGATATGAGTATATTAAATGCCAAGTTATTAATTATTATCAAATTTCACGTTCTTCAAGACCTAAGATAAACATTTTAGTAGTCGAGGAACACAATGGAGCCCAATATACGGTCTGGCCAATCAATGCATCAGTCAATTCCAGCTGCGCCCAGCTTTCTCCTGTCCTTGACAATTAAGCCAATATAGAGAAAAAGGGGGAATTCGGGCTAGGGGCAGGCGAGGAGTGGCACACTACATGTAACATATGAACTATGTTGGCTATGAGAACTTCATAAATACTACCACTGTAGCGGATTACTAGAAAGTTTGATGTTACAGCTAGAACAGATTGCTATAACCAGGTGTTTCGAATTTGAAGTGGCTACAGTTTTTTAGCTATTACAAGTTAAATGATCATGATAAAAAAAAAAACTTTTTAGCTTTTCTGTATGCAAAGGCAGTACACAAAACCAAAAGATGGTCGAAATAGGAAATAAATATATTGATGGTCTAAGCTTCGGTTGCAACATACCAGAACAGGTAAGTGATTTGATTGTAGAAATCATTCCTTCGAGTTGGCTTGTGTCCTTTGCCTGAAACACAGGTTTCCCTTCTCCTGCTATTGCTTGCAAAGTGCCCTTGTCTATCTTTTTACCAAAGCCAACGGCTATTACGAATACATCTTTCCTCTAAATTAGAGACATGATAGTCGGATTGAGCAACAACAGTCGGTTAGTTTATAAGTAATAAGTAAGGGTAATATAAACAGTTAAGCTTAATTTTAACGGTGGGAGGGTTGGATCAGTGGGTAGACCATTGAACTGAGTACCATACAACATATCGGTTTCCATCCTCGGAACCGGGCAAATACTGAGGAACTGCATAACAGAAAAATTGCCCTGGAAGTGGCTAGACGTTCCAGACTCCATTTCGAAATCATGCATTGTAAAAAAAGTGCTTCAATTAGTACTTTAATTCGTGCTTTATACAACTGATGATACATAATACTTGAAAGTAGGTTAATTCAATTAATTACCTTCGTGATATAGCGAAACTTCAAGCAAAGCTAAATTACATGTTACTGACACTACACTTTTATTATATTAGCCTTTCGTCTCACTCGTTGAGAGAAAAGGTTAGACTCCTAAGTTACAATGGAACTTCGATATAATGAAGGGCCAAGGGCTGGTAAATTTTTTTCGCTATAAAGAGGTTTCGTTATGTCGAGGTTCTTTTCCATACATTTTACTATTACTAGGGTAAAGAAAATCGTTCGTTATACCGAGGACTTCGTTATATAAAGGTTCGTTATATCGAGGTTCCACTGTAGCCTCAAATGTAACATTAGAGGGGCGCTCTAAGCGAAAGAACGAGGGGTACTTACCTTGAAATCCTCAGCTATGTTTTTTGAAAATTCTTCAAAATTTTTATTTTTTGGCAAACCGTAGGGTCTTCCATCAGTCAGGACTAACAGAACGTTGGGTTTGTCTGATCTGTCTCCTGCGGCCACAGTAAACAACTTGTCCCGCGCCATTTCCAGAGCAAGGTCAGTGCGAGTTCCCCATTTACGTGTTTTGGGTTCGCGACTTATCTTGTTCAAGAGCTGGTTCATATTGTAGTAATCTGAATTTGCAAAGTCAAACACCAAGTTTGCCTGCTTGTTAAACGTGATAAGACCAAAGTGATCCTTTTCTGCAGCGGGGTTAAACTTTTTCACCAGCCCCTTTAGGAACTCGATGACTTTTTTAATGTCTTTTTTTCGGATGCTCATAGATTTATCCAGAACGATTCCAATGTCAAGTCCGGCATTGCATGCTGGTTCTGAAAACGGACGTAGCTTGACATTATATTTATTTCACTGAGTATTATGTAAAGAATTATGCAGATCGAAGAGAATGTTATACACCCTGGCAGGTCTGCATAGTTTTTCACATTATACGAAAGCCGAATTCAATAATTGTTGCATTATTCATTCCAAATATTTCTATGTTCTTAACAGCCGCATACCTCCGCGTAGACTTTCTTCAAGATTTTGGTCTACTTCTTGTCATAGTTTCAGGATATTTAACAATTATTCCTTGAGCCGGAATGGGCTCTGAGTCAATAGCCCATGAGGCCGAATGCCGCATGAACTATTGACTCAGAGGCCATGAGGGCGAGAGGAATAATTGTTTTAGTAAAATCCAGCTAGTTGGTCAAAAATATCGAGACAAAACAACTTAAAGCAAGACTTTAATC